CCGAAAAAAAAAACGACAGTGTTACCCCTTACGTTTTTTTCATTTTCGGGCGAAAAATTAAGTTTCTCCAATCTTCTCAAAACTCTGGATTATGATAGAGGGCTGTGAGACTTTGACCTGAGTGCAAAAATGGAGGCTCTAGACCCTTCCAGAGCTGAGATATCGAAATTCAAAATTTCGACCCGAAAAAAAAACGACAGTGTTACCCCTTACGTTTTTTTTCATTTTCGGGCGAAAAATTAAGTTTCTCCAATCTTCTCAAAACTCTGGATTATGATAGAGGGCTGTGAGACTTTGACCTGAGTGCAAAAATGGAGGCTCTAGACCCTTCCAGAGCTGAGATATCGAAATTCAAAATTTCGACCCGAAAAAAAAACGACAGTGTTACCCCTTACGTTTTTTTTTCATTTTCGGGCGAAAAATTAAGTTTCTCCAATCTTCTCAAAACTCTGGATTATGATAGAGGGCTGTGAGACTTTGACCTGAGTGCAAAAATGGAGGCTCTAGACCCTTCCAGAGCTGAGATATCGAAATTCAAAATTTCGACCCGAAAAAAAAACGACAGTGTTACCCCTTTACGTTTTTTTTCATTTTCGGGCGAAAAATTAAGTTTCTCCAATCTTCTCAAAACTCTGGATTATGATAGAGGGCTGTGAGACTTTGACCTGAGTGCAAAAATGGAGGCTCTAGACCCTTCCAGAGCTGAGATATCGAAACTCAAAATTTCGACCCGAAAAAAAAACGACAGTGTTACCCCTTACGTTTTTTTCATTTTCGGGCGAAAAATTAAGTTTCTCCAATCTTCTCAAAACTCTGGATTATGATAGAGGGCTGTGAGACTTTGACCTGAGTGCAAAAATGGAGGCTCTAGACCCTTCCAGAGCTGAGATATCGAAACTCAAAATTTCGACCCGAAAAAAAAACGACAGTGTTACCCCTTACGTTTTTTTTCATTTTGGGCGAAAAATTAAGTTTCTCCAATCTTCTCAAAACTCTGGATTATGATAGAGGGCTGTGAGACTTTGACCTGAGTGCAAAAATGGAGGCTCTAGACCCTTCCAGAGCTGAGATATCAAAATTCAAAATTTCGACCCGAAAAAAAACGACAGTGTTACCCCTTACGTTTTTTTTCATTTTCGGGCGAAAAATTAAGTTTCTCCAATCTTCTCAAAACTCTGGATTATGATAGAGGGCTGTGAGACTTTGACCTGAGTGCAAAAATGGAGGCTCTAGACCCTTCCAGAGCTGAGATATCAAAATTCAAAATTTCGACCCGAAAAAAAAACGACAGTGTTACCCTTACGTTTTTTTTCATTTTCGGGCGAAAAATTAAGTTTCTCCAATCTTCTCAAAACTCTGGATTATGATAGAGGGCTGTGAGACTTTGACCTGAGTGCAAAAATGGAGGCTCTAGACCCTTCCAGAGCTGAGATATCGAAACTCAAAATTTCGACCCGAAAAAAAAACGACAGTGTTACCCTTACGTTTTTTTTCATTTTCGGGCGAAAAATTAAGTTTCTCCAATCTTCTCAAAACTCTGGATTATGATAGAGGGCTGTGAGACTTTGACCTGAGTGCAAAAATGGAGGCTCTAGACCCTTCCAGAGCTGAGATATCGAAATTCAAAATTTCGACCCGAAAAAAAAACGACAGTGTTACCCCTTACGTTTTTTTTCATTTTCGGGCGAAAAATTAAGTTTCTCCAATCTTCTCAAAACTCTGGATTATGATAGAGGGCTGTGAGACTTTGACCTGAGTGCAAAAATGGAGGCTCTAGACCCTTCCAGAGCTGAGATATCGAAATTCAAAATTTCGACCCGAAAAAAAACGACAGTGTTACCCCTTACGTTTTTTTCATTTTCGGGCGAAAAATTAAGTTTCTCCAATCTTCTCAAAACTCTGGATTATGATAGAGGGCTGTGAGACTTTGACCTGAGTGCAAAAATGGAGGCTCTAGACCCTTCCAGAGCTGAGATATCGAAATTCAAAATTTCGACCCGAAAAAAAAACGACAGTGTTACCCCTTACGTTTTTTTTCATTTTCGGGCGAAAAATTAAGTTTCTCCAATCTTCTCAAAACTCTGGATTATGATAGAGGGCTGTGAGACTTTGACCTGAGTGCAAAAATGGAGGCTCTAGACCCTTCCAGAGCTGAGATATCGAAATTCAAAATTTCGACCCGAAAAAAAAAACGACAGTGTTACCCCTTACGTTTTTTTTCATTTTCGGGCGAAAAATTAAGTTTCTCCAATCTTCTCAAAACTCTGGATTATGATAGAGGGCTGTGAGACTTTGACCTGAGTGCAAAAATGGAGGCTCTAGACCCTTCCAGAGCTGAGATATCGAAATTCAAAATTTCGACCCGAAAAAAAAACGACAGTGTTACCCCTTACGTTTTTTTTCATTTTCGGGCGAAAAATTAAGTTTCTCCAATCTTCTCAAAACTCTGGATTATGATAGAGGGCTGTGAGACTTTGACCTGAGTGCAAAAATGGAGGCTCTAGACCCTTCCAGAGCTGAGATATCGAAATTCAAAATTTCGACCCGAAAAAAAAACGACAGTGTTACCCCTTACGTTTTTTTTTCATTTTCGGGCGAAAAATTAAGTTTCTCCAATCTTCTCAAAACTCTGGATTATGATAGAGGGCTGTGAGACTTTGACCTGAGTGCAAAAATGGAGGCTCTAGACCCTTCCAGAGCTGAGATATCAAAATTCAAAATTTCGACCCGAAAAAAAAAACGACAGTGTTACCCCTTACGTTTTTTTTTCATTTTCGGGCGAAAAATTAAGTTTCTCCAATCTTCTCAAAACTCTGGATTATGATAGAGGGCTGTGAGACTTTGACCTGAGTGCAAAAATGGAGGCTCTAGACCCTTCCAGAGCTGAGATATCAAAATTCAAAATTTCGACCCGAAAAAAAAACGACAGTGTTACCCCTTACGTTTTTTTTCATTTTCGGGCGAAAAATTAAGTTTCTCCAATCTTCTCAAAACTCTGGATTATGATAGAGGGCTGTGAGACTTTGACCTGAGTGCTAAAATGGAGGCTCTAGACCCTTCCAGAGCTGAGATATCGAAATTCAAAATTTCGACCCGAAAAAAAAACGACAGTGTTACCCCTTACGTTTTTTTTCATTTTCGGGCGAAAAATTAAGTTTCTCCAATCTTCTCAAAACTCTGGATTATGATAGAGGGCTGTGAGACTTTGACCTGAGTGCAAAAATGGAGGCTCTAGACCCTTCCAGAGCTGAGATATCGAAATTCAAAATTTCGACCCGAAAAAAAAACGACAGTGTTACCCCTTACGTTTTTTTTCATTTTCGGGCGAAAAATTAAGTTTCTCCAATCTTCTCAAAACTCTGGATTATGATAGAGGGCTGTGAGACTTTGACCTGAGTGCAAAAATGGAGGCTCTAGACCCTTCAAGAGCTGAGATATCGAAATTCTAAATTTCGACCCGAAAAAAAAACGACAGTGTTACCCCTTTCGTTTTTTTTCATTTTCGGGCGAAAAATTAAGTTTCTTCAATCTTCTCAAAACTCTGGATTATGATAGAGGGCTGTGAGACTTTGACCTGAGTGCAAAAATGGAGGCTCTAGACCCTTCAAGAGCTGAGATATCGAAATTCAAAATTTCGACCCGAGAAAAAAACAACAGTGTTACCCCTTACGTTTTTTTTCATTTTCGGGCGAAAAATTAAGTTTCTCCAATCTTCTCAAAACTTTGGATTATGATAGAGGGCTGTGAGACTTTGACCTGAGTGCAAAAATGGAGGCTCTAGACCCTTCCAGAGCTGAGATATCGAAATTCAAAATTTCGACCCGAAAAAAAAAACGACAGTGTTACCCCTTACGTTTTTTTTCATTTTCGGGCGAAAAATTAAGTTTCTCCAATCTTCTCAAAACTCTGGATTATGATAGAGGGCTGTGAGACTTTGACCTGAGTGCAAAAATGGAGGCTCTAGACCCTTCCAGAGCTGAGATATCGAAATTCAAAATTTCGACCCGAAAAAAAAACGACAGTGTTACCCCTTACGTTTTTTTTCATTTTCGGGCGAAAAATTAAGTTTCTCCAATCTTCTCAAAACTCTGGATTATGATAGAGGGCTGTGAGACTTTGACCTGAGTGCAAAAATGGAGGCTCTAGACCCTTCCAGAGCTGAGATATCGAAATTCAAAAATTTTTCGACCCGAAAAAAAAACGACAGTGTTACCCCTTACGTTTTTTTTCATTTTCGGGCGAAAAATTAAGTTTCTCCAATCTTCTCAAAACTCTGGATTATGATAGAGGGCTGTGAGACTTTGACCTGAGTGCAAAAATGGAGGCTCTAGACCCTTCAAGAGCTGAGATATCGAAATTCTAAATTTCGACCCGAAAAAAAAAACGACAGTGTTACCCCTTTCGTTTTTTTTTTTTTGGGTGAAAAATGAAGTTTCTCCAATCTTCTTGAAACTCTGGATTCTGATGGAGGGCTATGGGATTTAGACCTGAGTGCCAAAATGGATGCTCTAGACCCTTCCAGAGCTGAGATATTGAGATCCCACATAGCATTTATGCCATTAAAAAAATAGTGGGTGTGTGGACAGTCGAATTATGGGATTGCGCTTGGTGCTACAGACTCAGGGGAGCCCCCTGAGTGCAGTAAAATAGTTTAAACACTGATTGATTGATTGATACACACTGATTGATTGATTGATACACACTGATTGATTGATTGATTGATTGATTGATACACACTGATTGATTGATACACACTGATTGATTGATTGATACACACTGATTGATTGATTGATTGATACTGATTGATTGATTGATACACACTGATTGATTGATTGATACACACTGATTGATTGAAACACACTGATTGATTGATTGATACACACTGATTGCTTGATTGATTGATGGATACACCAAAAAACCTAGTAAAGACCATAACACAAAAACGCAAAAGAGTACTTTATTTTTTACAGTTTTTTTTTTTTTTACAAAGATACCCTTTCACCACTGACATGTTCCTGGCTCCATGATCTATACACTCTGGACTACAGCACTGAGGCTACAAAGATCCAGCTTGAACAGAAACCATTAGAACATTTCCCTCCACAGGAATAACCATAGCTGGAAAGACACCTTTCAGAGACACCTGAAAAATAGCCATATCATACAGTACCTGGTTCTGGAAAAACAAATCAGTGTCAAACAGCACACTAGCAGCAACTACATTCTCACTAGGAAGAACACTGTAGACCATAATCTGCACTGCTGGAGCCATATCAACACTGACAGACATCTGGAACATCAAACTTAATCAGTTTCATGCTAGAGAATGTCTTAATTTCTACAAAATACAAGTCTTACTACCAGATTCAGATCAGCCTTAAGATTAGCAGTGTTTACAGAGAACACAGCCTGTCCATTCTTGTTTATGGTTGGATTCAACAGCAGTTTGTCAGGCCAGTTGCTCCCCTCCAAGAGATATTTGTCAAGTCACGTGGATCTGTTAGGAATGATCAAGGTTAGGAAAGGGAACCAATTTGAAGGCTTCCGCAATAAGGGATGACATTTTGCTTACCTTTCCATTAAGCATTGATCCAAAATAAGGAACCAGGAGATCCACAAATGTGACTTTGCAGACTACAAACACCATTGCAGATTTTGATACCATTACATCTGCGAGACAAAATCCAAACAAACAGTGGAGAACATCAACTTTGTGGCTTAAAGTGGATGTCTTGTCAACATTATAAAGAGAATATGGTTCAGATCAGCAAATAGCTCACCTGTTCCCTCCTCAGTAACATTCACATTTACAAGAAACATGTCTTGCATCTTCAAATTTGGTGTTGAAAAACACTGACATAACAGTAAGAGAGGCACAGCCCGTGGCATTCATCTGATAGGAGAACAAAGATGGACAATTAAATCAAGCACAGGCATAAAGAAAACCCTCAGCAGTAAGACAGGAGTCACACACCTTTGCAGTTTGAGTCAGGCACCGTCTGGTCAAATTATGAAGCAGAATGTATGGAATTGGATCACGAAACTTCCACTAAGGCTTGACCAGGTACAGGTTGGCCATGTCTATATCTGGGAAACATCAGAACAAGATAAAAATAAAAAAAAACCTTACTGGATTTTTTCACCTCAAAAACTTGGGAGACTTCTCAGTCAGCAATAAAACCCTTTAGTGCAAGTCCTGGCAACCCACTGCTCTGCATATTGTGCATGTCTATCGTAATGAGCGGAGGATCTGAATCAGGTGTTTTAAATAAGGGAGACATGCACAATATGCAGAGCAGTGGGTCGCGAGGACTGCAGTTAAGAACCCCTGCTTTAGTGTGTACATACCTATCTGAGCCTCTGGGTTTAACTCGTGAGATAGCTGCAATATCAGTCCCGTTGAGGAAACGTTTGTCCACTGACCAGTCCGGTTATTATCTTTGTCCTATTAAAACAAATTAACAGCTCAGAGAAAATCTGCAAAGAAAGAAAAGTGCAAAAAGCTGCATTGGCTCCATTCAAAGTCTTACACCAAAGCAAACTCACCTCCACCACAACCACATTGTACTGCAAGAAAGACAGGAATAATAAACATTTAAAAGCAGTCATTGAAGTTGAAATTTTCAATCTTAAAAGAACCAGCTTTTAATTTGCTTTTCATTTAGGGTCAGAACACTCAAAATGGTGAAACATCTGGTCTTAAAGGCACAAATTTAGAATTCATGGAGACAACTCTGAAATTAACTGCAAAGACACAAACAAACTCACATATATTGCATAATGCATTTGAAGATGATGGCTTCAACCAAGGATCATTCACAGCTCACCTGTTTGTCCTGGATTGTAAATAGGTTTGTCTGTTTGGATGAAGGTCAAGGTAGGTAATGTCTGAACATGATTTTGCTCTCTTCAGTCACTCTGAAGACCTTCCCTTGAACTTAAACCTTCAGCTTCTGCACCGAATCTCCATCTACCTGAGGAGCCTGTAGACAACTTCAGTTAACATACAAGAAACCAAGACAAAAAGAGCCACACACATCTAATGACTATGACAGACCTGGTAAAAAAGTAGTGGTGAAAGTGGAGTCATCTTGTTTTCAGATCCAAATCAGAAGAATGGCACATCTGACGTTGGTTCAACGTTAATTCGATGAGCAAAACACAATGTTTCCACATTGATTCAATGTCAGTTTGCTATCTGGGGAAAGTTCCCTACAAAGGGTCACAAACCACACCAGGAGCAGAGAGCAGACAGTGAACAGATCCAAAACTAGGCTTTTTAAAGAGCCCAACCAGCTGCAGCCACTGACGAGTAGGAGGAGTTCCAAGATCCAATCAGTCGTTGAACCACCAATCAGCTGCTGGAATGGTTACAGAAGCCATCTTACCTGTAAGAAGAAAAACACAAGAACCACAAACAATGCTAGTAAAGAAATCACTAGAATACGTACCCAGTTCTTTGGGGACGTAACGGGGTGAATAAACTCTGATATTCAATGTTCAGAAATTATTAATAGAGATGTGTGTGTGTGTTAATGAATTCCAACCTGTCGTAAATGGGAGGCGTGTGCACGTTCATTCAAGTCCATCATATCCGACTGACATCTATATATAGGCATATAATAATATGAATGCAATTTTGATTTGATTAACTTTATTGTCTGTTCAGTACTGGACAGAAATTCATCTTTGACACTGGAAATTGTGCAAATAATTCTCTGTTTGAAAAGATAGGAGGAAGAAGACAAGTGGAAAACCTCTTAATCTCTTCTTGCAAGAAATAAAATTGAAATGGCATTCAACATACAGACAGTGTCTACATGTGAAGGCGAAGGCTTGTCCCTTTTCGCCCAGGTTATATACCCTAAACACAGGAAATAATACTATGTAGGCTGCATCTGGTTCGCAGAAGATTGTCCCCTATGCAGCCTTAAAAGGAAACCTGTTAAAATTGCTTTGAACTATTCTTGTTAACCATATATTTATCTAGACAGAACAAGGACATCTTCGTTAGCTGCTGTTCGACCTCACACCCTAAAAACCTGCACACATACATTTCACACTTGAAATACAATTAGCTACTTGGAGTACACAAAGTTTCCCTGCTGACATTTTCAATGTTAATAAAAGTTGCACACATCTAAAAACATCTATAAAAAAAAAGTACACATATAAAAGAAAAGAAACACATCTAAAATATGTAAATGTACAATTCCCATCACAATCCACCCCATGTTCATTCAAAGAACATACACACAATTTGACATTTACTTGGATTCTTACTAAATACATGGCTTTACCCCATTTGTTCAAACACTCTGGTCCTGCTGCTGAAATAGGATCACATATTATAACAATTTGTCTCCCTTTTTCACCTCAATCCCAGACAGCAAACTGACATTGAATCAACGTGGAAACGACGTCTCTCATGACATTGAAGCAACGTTGATTTGCTCATCGAATTAACGTTGAACCAACGTCAGACGCGGCATTCTTCAAAGCTAAATAAAATCGAAAATTGGTTTGCTTTCAAAACATTGAAACAACGTGTTGATTTTATGTTGATTTTCCGTTAGTTTTGAAAGAATGACGCGTCTGACGTTGGTTCAACGTTAATTCGATGAGCAAAACAATGTCAGATCAACGTTGTTTCGATGTCATATTTCCACGTTGATTCAATGTCAGTTTGCTATCTGGGATGCTACCATCCTGTGCTAGGCCCATGGCCAGGCTAGATAAGAGGATAACATTTAGTAACATATTGCCACACAGTGCAACTTCGCCAGGCGAGAAAATGTTTTTGTGAAAGAGATATACGTCCTGTTTCTCTATGTATCGTTGGTCTTAGGGCAGGTGTAGTCAATATTATTAGACAAGTAACTGCAATTCCCTCTCCGTCAAAACACCACAGAGTTCTTGACTCAGTACGTACTACTCCTAAAATTGTAGACTTGTCCTGTACGATAGATTCGTCCTCTCTCCAATGAAGATGGTTTTCTAGCGAGTAACCTACAGGTTGACAAGCAACTTTGGTCAGTCTGACACCGGTTTGGTACTCGTTAGCTGTGAATGGGATTCTTCTTCCGTTGCAGCTACCGCATGAGCTGGCACTTTTCAACAGTGCATCCCATGGATCCACAGAGCCCTCTCCCCCACTTTCACCGCAGTGTGAGTTGTCAGCAAAACCTGAAATGGCCCGTGCCACCTCTTCGTTTTCCAGTGTTTCCGCCTCAGATCCTTTATCAGCACGAAATCTCCTGGCCTGATGCTGTGCAGGGCCGTCTCAGCTGGCACTGGAGCTGCTGCTTTGACCTGTTTTGAGAAATCAGAGAACACCTTATCGAGTTCAACACAATATTTCAACATGTCATGTTCACAAAGAGTGGTGTCAGGCAGTGGTCCAGGATTATGTGGTTTCCAGCCCATGTGAGGTGGACGACCAAACAGAATCTCAAATGGAGAGAGCTGTGCGCGTCCCCTCTTTCTCATTCTCATGTAAGTCAATGCAATGCGCAAGGCCTTTTGCCAAGGAAGCCCTTTTTCATCACAAATTTTTATCAGTTTATTCTTAATGGTTCCATTAACCATTGCCACTTGATAATTTCTTCAGGAATATGCCCCACCTGTCTCATTGCCTGACCCCTGCCGACATTGAGTTAGTTCCGCGAATCATACATCTGCTGCAAAAACCTGCTGCCACTGTGTTGTAAACCAGTTATTTTGCATACATTTCAGCATCCGCCCTTTTGACACACCGTCCAACCCATGCATCAACTTAGCAAAAGCTGGAAAGAAATGTATTTTTGTTAGTGACAACATCCATTAACTCATCTGCTTGTCTGGCCGGTTTTCCTTTACTGATGAGACCTGTGAAATTTCAAGTTAAACAGTAACAAGACAATATTTATACATTTGGAACAGAATCGGTTCTGCTCGATGAGATCCATCATGACATCCTGTAAAAGGAAGAAAGTTAAGTTTGAGGAGGACAGGGTAAGATTGCTCTCTGCCTTCCCAAAGTTATACGCTGCGCATGTGTGGCACTGTTTCTTTCTGCCACTACAATAACTCAAACACTCAGGATAGTTAGCCAAAATCATCCATGGCCGTTAATTTATTGGCCACATTTTCTCTTCCCCCTGTGGAGTCATATTTTAACCTGTGGGCCCACTTAATAAATTTAGACACTGGAGTTTTGATTGATATTTAATTGTCTTGGTGTCTCTCAGAACACCCTATTTCACGCATTCACATTCATACACTTTCACACACCCCTCTCTCTAGCCAGAGAATCATACCTTTTTGTCTGCCTTAGCAGTTTATGAACAGACTGGGATATATTGGACGGATATGAACGGATGAACGGATTTATGAACGGATATATTGGCTATTTTGGAGTGGAATACCACCAAATCCGAACGGTTTTTACGACAGAAGCTACTGAACGTTGACACACTGTGGCATTCCCCTTGCGACAGTGTCTAAACCTTAGGATATCAATTGTTCGATGCAGTCGCTATTGTGGCGATCTTTACACTTTAAAAACTTGCGGTGTCGAATTTAATTGTTTCAACAATGCATTGCTATGCAAATGAGGACAATTCAGTATTGGTTCAGTCATAGACCATAACCAATTATAATGTACTGACGCTTTTCTGATGTCATTTGTTGCATATGTGCTTTGTGCCAGACAGGCGAACACACACATGAATTTTTAAAACCGAATTGAAAATTGAGGACTCAGTGCATCATAATTCATTGTGATATCGAATTGAACTCAAATCCATTACATGATAATCGTAATCAAACCAAACCTAACTTTTCAAAATCAAATAAATGTAGTAAGCCTTTATGTCATAAAGGTAAAATTAACAGCGTTCATTGTGAAATGCAGTACTCTACAAAATATGCTCTGGCAAATGTAGCAGTAGATGATCCAGTACTAACCATACTATATATAATCATACTACAAAAATAGTTACTCAAGTGCTTATTGTCACCTGTGGATTCCTTGAATTAGAGGTTCTGGAAGTTAGCGCTAGTAAAGTCCTTCAATTGATCATCATATCAGCTATCTGAAATGCAGATACGCCCTAAATTCCCAAACATATTAGGAGTTTTGTAGAGCACTTGATTTACCTTAGCTGTGTGTGTCCTTGAATCAATGTCGGCATTTCATTCTTCCCTTTCTATTCTGTCTTCAATCAATCCTTTAGGCGTAACGGTACCTATTTCTCTGTGTTATAATTGGACTGGATGACAGCCATATTTGAAGCCAACAGATGAAAGCATCTTTTGACAATGGAGTGTCTAGCCTGTGACATGACTTGAATGAGGAAGAGATTGCTGTGCACATACACGGGTACGAACACACAGAAAACCCTACACACGTAAAATAACATAAATTGCCTATAGTACAGCTGTTGAGGGAAGTCTGCAGGAATACACTTGAGAAATACAAGTGTATTTCTCAATACATTAAGAATGAGGCTGCACTGCATACCAAAAGACATGTGCTGTCATTTTTGAGATAGATCACAAAATATCATTGGTATGGCTAAAAAAGGGATACAATCCTCCATTTTTAAGGCATACAAAATGAGAATACAATCCCAAACACTAGGACTGTAAAATTGACAAAAAATATATATAATAATTGAATTATATCTTCTGAATAATCTGTCAAAGTAGACACAAATAATTTCCATGTTAAAGGTGTGAACAGGGCTCCAGACTGGGAGACATTTGTTGGTCTAGTCTATTTTCATTTACTTTTGTGAATGGAAAAATCAATAAATTGAAATCGAAAATCAACTGTAATGGAATCAGGACATCAATAATCGTAATCGAAACGGGAAATCAGACAGATTAACCACCCCTACATACTCATACTGTATGTAAATGTTATTTTTAATGTGATGACCATCACATTTTTTTTTTCATCCTACAAAGACTGTCCTAAAACGAAAAATGTGTGTGTCTTTATAAAACAGTTCAACTGTTACAACCAATCTTGTGTGATCAGCTCAACTCATCTAATGCCTGATCTCGGTGTGTGTACTTTGGTAAACTCAAACTACATGTAATAGTGTACAGGTCATGGTTAAATGTGTTAATTCAGCCTGCTTTTTAAATAGAAACATTAATTGCACTAAACGAACACTAAATTGATAGCTCTTCCAAAAACAACCTTTTAGACCACAGTTGAGCAATAGTCTATACGTGTGTTTGCAGTCAGTGTTGTCGCTAAGGTAACCACCAGTACCCACAAATACACTCTCCGCTCGCTGTCACTTGTATTAAAAGCATAATTTTTCCTCATGAGGGAACATTGGCGGATACACACACTGGCTCTGCCCCCACTAGCCTTTCAGTTGAGTAAACATGATGCAGCTACTAATTTATACATTCAGCCTAGTGCACTGCTACACGGTGGTCTCCATGGATAGACCCCCTCATGAACAATTAGTGGCAAAACTGTGGCAGAATCCATCCATTTATAGGAGCTTATGAATTACAAATTCAGAAGCTAATGA